GGAAAACATTTTCATTTTTTCTCCATATGATGAATTAACGGTAGGTACGACTAGGGACAGAATTAGTATTGTAGCAATACAGTACTTTCAGTAATACCGTATGAATAATGCTTAATTCATGAAACATATTGAGGGTGTTCTTCATGGCTTTTTAGTAGTCTCTTTTCCGGACTCCAAGCTAGCAGACTTGGGTGTGCTCGCACTCGGTCCAGAGTTCACTATTGTAACTGAATGAGAGATCTGCCTCAACCCGCAGATGATTCTTCCGGAGGCACGTATTCCGAAGGTAAAGGGGTTTCCCAGTTTTGGCATGGGATTCCAAGAAGGACCTGTCGCTGAGATCCCGGTGATGGCTATCTGCGTTCTGTCTCGGTAGGATTTACGCACCCTGTAGGCCTGCCCAACCCCGGAAACCGGGTTTGCGACAAGAGTATGTGAGTAGGTGACAACAGGTCATGTTGTCAACTCTCTATGCTCGGGGGCACGTGAGACCTATGGAGGGAAATAAGCCTTGTGGAGCGTTACTAACACGCAAATGACATAACCACGATTGCCACGCAAGGCAACAGGGCAATGTTGCTGTGCTTCCTTGCGTGGGTTTTTGTGCCGGTTTTGTCCCTGTTCTGTGCTCCCTTGGCGTTGGTGGATACGAGCTGGAGATGGTAAGAATCTGTTTACGTGGTGGATGTAGGTTTGCCAGCTTCGTCATCACTTCAACTTGTAATTAAATACCACACGGTAGCAAATATGACAGTGAGGTGATGGGAAAGTCATATGGCATGATTAGGACCGGATTACATAGCTGCGCGCGTCGGGACGAATGATGGACCATGAGCAAGCTTCGATTCCCCCTTCGCGCCTTCATTCGCCGTACTGACGAGGCAGCCAGGAGTTGGAGACTTTGGCGACGAATCCCATGTCTGGCGAACCGCGAGGACGTTCTGAGGCAATCATCACGAGTAAGGGGGGATGTGGTTCCTCTTGTGAACGGTATCTCTCGTGTGAGAGGCCCCAGAGAGAGGAGCCACGGCAGATGTAAGTTTGGAGGCGTTCTGTCAGGTGAGGGGGAGTCGTAAAGGGGACATACCCGACGCGATGAACTCTCGAATGAGGGACTTGATGTACCTTGAGGGGCGTGAAGTTGGTAAACTCATCCTTCTGCACCCTCCCCCGTTCTACCCCTTTTTCTCTCCCCTCCCGCCTCATGTCCTGGCGATGCTTCGGCGAGATTCTGCATTGTGGCTTCGTGAGAGGGGAAGAATCGTATGCGATGAATATGCCTTATTGAGGGGCCTGGTTACGAGGAGGATCTTGTTCTTTTCTTGGCAATGATGCTCTGGACTCGGCTGCGGGCGTCGCTCGTGATACTTGGGGAATTCGGTGGCGATTTAGCGGGACCTGAGTGAAGAGGTGACGAAAACTAAAACGCCGTGGAATAGCAAATTGGTCCTATTCCAGCGTTCGTGTTCGTGTTGATCGTAGAGAGGCCTTGGAGTTCAGGATGTCTTTGGACTTGATGTGCCTCGCTGACGAGAGCTGCTGCCTACCTTACGGGTGGACAGACTCGAACGCAACGTGAGTTCGAGGTCTGTTCCTCACTGGGCAAGACCAAATAGAACAGCATTGAAATTATTCCAAGAAACTCGCACCACTGACAAGATTGCGAACTCCATCTTTCGTGACCGAGTGCTGTGTCCTGGTGTCCAGACCCGCCCCACTCATACGAAAGCAATGAGGCCCCGAGGGTAGAGCGTTGGAAGAAGCTTTGAGTGATGTCGCCAGAAGACGGCGTCGAACACTACACAACCCCATAACCCAGCCACTATGAGTGGTTTACCTCCAGCGTCGTGGTCGTCTCTCTCTTCAGTTGCAAGGGCGTTAAAAACAAGCAAAGACTTTGCAGAGTTTTCCTATGCCTGATAAGTGAACTCAGGGTGAGCTTCAAGAGTGCCTCCGTTGTGCTCCTCAAACACGGCGTTGTCAAGTGTGTCATATAGTCGATTTGATTCTATTGCACTGCGCGTTGTATGGGGCCTAAGTTCCCGGTTGTCATGTTCCTACTTTCTCATTCTCGACACGAAAATATGGGCATAAAATGTGCTGGTGGGATGCTATCTACCGCCCAGTTTGCCTCATTGTGAGGTCCGATTCTTTTGATTGTCCGCGGAGGGGCTTCACAAGGAAAATAGCGAGATCTGGGAAGAAAAACTGGTGTAAGCTGTGAATAACAGAGCGCGCAAACCCGACACCAAGTACGGCAGTCTCTATCTGGCCCCAATCTGGTCTGCTAAGAAAAGAGCGCATTTCATCCATTGAAATCATGCCAGTGGTAGTTGATGGTGAGAAGACTCTGACCGATATCGCCATCGACGAGAAGGAAATAAAGGTGTGCCTGTTGTGACGGAGAGGGCATGATCACTCACCACCGACTTAAGTCATATCATTGCGTAGATTTATTCATCTTCTAAACAAAAGTATGGTTCTACGAGGCAATGTATCCTGGTCTTCTTTGCTGTAATTTGTGAAGGTAACCTTGAGCTTCAGAGGCCAGTCTCGAGGGCGATGAAGTGTGGCGGAGGCTCTCGGATTGGCGTATGTCATCTACCTACCAAATCAACATTATGCCATATAGACGCCAATCTTGCAAGGTAGACATGTTTCCAGATATTAAGCAGTCAATATTGGGGGGGGGGGGGGAGGGTAGTAATGCAACTTGAGATCAAGTCTGAGGCGTCGACATAAATGGACATAGACTATAGGCAGTAGACAATGTTGACTGAGAGGGGGCTATAAGCCTGAGCATGGAAATCGTCTGGCCTGTACCTGCTTACTTCTCTCGAGCAGTGGTAATCATCACATAACGTCCTGAATCAATGCATGAGGACCCATCACAATTGAAGGAAAAAAAGAGCAAACTTTTGAAGTCGGGACATCTTTGGGCCCCATCATTTTGGTAGCTCTATGCTACCTCACACCACACACACCCGAGGGAATCCTCTCCCTCCCACCACGCAAGAAAGGAGGGGTGGGAAAGAACAAGAGAGGGGGATTCTTGTGAGCCCATCCTTTTTCGTTTTTCGCTTGACCAATGTTTTGACCCGTCTTGAGAGAAATCCATTTCGTGTTTTGCAGCACTGGGGGGAGAAATGATAAAAGTGCAAATAAACCCTTAATTTCCCTCCGTGACCATGCAATGCATCATCGAGTAATTCGGGATCCCCGTGTGCCAAAAACGTGTTACGCCTCCGTGACCATTTTCATTGTTCCTCATCCCCAGATCTAACCCAGCAGCGGTCGGTCTAAATTTAAGCAGACTGTATAAGAAGTCAGTTTCAATGTTCGTCCTCTAAGAAGGGTACCATTCATAATTTCGGCCAGGGAACACGAGAGGTAGCTCAAGAGAGTGCTGAAGATGGTCCCCTCATAATGCGGCCTTCGTCAATGGCTCCTCTCATGTCACCCTAACCTCCATTCAAATGGCAGATATTCCGACTCTACTGACCTTGACGGCGAACTTGCGCTGGGGGAAGTGGGTGGTGCGCTTCTTGGCCTTGTCGGTGACAGCGCTGGCCTCCTTCTCGGACAATCTCCGGCGGATGGCACGGGTCTGCTTCGCGCGGAGGTCGAGGGGAGCGTACTTCTTGTTCTTGTAGAACAGGCGGAGCTGGGCGCGTTGCTTGGAGTTGATGACGGTAAGGACGCGAGCGATCGACTTGCGGATGTCGTGGCTATGGAGCGGGAAATTTCACCGGTCAGTCCTCTTGGTTTCTCTTTTTTCGATCGACGATTCCTCCAATTGACTCGGGATCAGGACAGGGGGATCAAACGCACATCTTGTTCAGCTTGCTGCCGGAAGAGGCGATCTTCTGGATGCGGAGCTGACCGAGCTCGGTCTTGAGCTCACCAAGTTGCTTGGTCAAATCATCCTTGTTCTTGCTCCAAAGGGCGACGGCCTTGACCTTTCCGGACGACTGGGACATGATGAATTCTCGTCAGCGAAACGGGTTCTCTTTTCTCCTATGTGGCTCCTTGCAAGCAGATCCTGCCGCCTCTGGTGTTCGCTTTCTTCGTCGGGAAGGGGGTAATTCGGGCGCGGGGTGTCGAGGATTCGGCGGAAAACTTGCGTCGGGCTATTCGAGGATCGCGAATTCCATCAGGGAGAGCAAAAGGGGTTCACTCACCATCTTGACTGATATGGGGGGTGGCGCTGGATATCTGGGTTAGTATCGACACGTCGTGAGAGAGGCTGAGGTGATCGATCGTAAATTTGAAAGTTTGGCAAAAAGCTGTTGCCCTAGTTTGTGCGCAAAAATTCGGGACCCGGCGCGGGGCCTGCTGTGATTGGGTGCATGTGGGCCTTGGGGTTTCGAAGTCGCTGGTCATGAACTGCGCCACAGCAACTCCAGCCACAGTCTGTCACCGGGGCTGGTCGTCCTCAAGCCAAGATAGCTTTATTGAGCGAGATATCAATGGCATCGACATGTAGTTGCAACCACTGTGTCTCAAATCTTTGGAAACATCTAGGAAATCTGACGATATTGGGCAAATATTTCGAATTTCATCAATTGGCTCTTTTGCCTTTGGGCACAAAGATATTATAGGCTTAATTTCAGTTTCATGCCATTTGTCCCTCGTCAGAGGACTTTGTGTCAACAAGCCAAGTCTCTAATGAGACAGATGGAATGCCCAAGTAATAATTCCTTGCACAAGCGAGTTCTTTCACGGCGTTCTAGCACATCATGAGCAAATCTTCGATGCTCCATACTCTAATGCGACTCTACCCGCACCTGCATTTCTGGTGCAACACTTTCGGCACTTACATAATCATTCAATGTGCACGGTCCATGTGACGCCGAGCTCCTCCCCTGCTGCATCTGGTCCCTGCCGACAGTCCTAGACACGCAGACATGCCAGAGTCCATCGAAAGACAACATCTCGACGTCGAAGGTCTACCCACGTACAGCAACCACCAAGCCATTCACAACTAACATCGAGGTGCTATGGCTGCGGCTACAGGAAACACGGGCTGGGCCCAGCTGCGGCAACAGGCTCGAAGTCTGGAAACACAGGTACGGATCTCCTCCGCTCAGAACGTCATCCAGGCTTCCCTGACATCCGGCCTCCACAGACAGAGACGCTCTTCCACACCTACTCTCAGTTCTCGACGGTATCCGACATCCCGGCAAAGCCCACAGAAGAAGAAAGGACCACAGAAGCGAAGCTCCAAGATCTTCTCGAAAAGGTACGCTCAAGCCCTCGTCCGAAGGACTTCGGTTCTCACCTCTTTCGCTGCCTCGAACGTCCGTACTAACATGGCTGCCAACCCATCAGCGCGAGAACGTCATTTCACAATTGTCCCGCCTCCTCGACTCGGAAGCAACTCTTACCTCTTCCGCTCTGAAACAGAACAACCTCGCCCTTCTCCGCGAGAAGCTCGCCGAACATAAGCGCGATCTCGTGCGCTTACGCAAAACCATTTCCGAGGCTCGCGATCGCGCTCACCTTCTTACGAATGTTCGCTCCGACATTGACGAATACCGTGCCAATAACCCCGAAAACGCCGAAGCCGAGTACATGCTCGCTGAGCGCAGCCGTATCGATAACAGTCACAATATGGCCGATAGCGTCTTGTCCCAGGCCTACGCTGTCCAGGACAGCTTCAACATCCAGCGCGAGACACTCGCCAGCATCAACCGTCGTATCACCATGGCCGCCAGCCAGGTGCCGGGGTTGAACAGTCTAATTAGCCGCATCTCAGCCAAGAAGCGCAGAGACGGCATCATAATGGGCGCATTCATTGCGTTTTGCTTCCTGATGTTCTGGTGGTTCTTGTAATAAGCGGAGACCTGGCATGGCTGAAATGACGTCCCTCGTGTGTTTGTTATGTGTTCAACAAAGCCGTTACGACTGGGAAATTATTGGCATAAGGGAAATGCGGAGGCGTTATTGGAATCCTTTTTTACTTTTCTTTTTATCGGATAGGGGGTATCTTTGGTGCATATTGTACACTATAAGAACACGAATATCTGTAAGCAAAAGTCAGGTTACATGGCCTGACTACAAGGTTGGCTTTTCCAAGCCACCTGAGAAAAAGCTATCGTCCTCTTTATCAGGATACTTCCCTCTTTCCCCTCGCTGCGTCCTTCACCTGGGCAGCCTCAAGTGCTGCCTTTTCGTTCTTATTCCACTCGTGAAGGACTAGCTTCATGCTCTTCACCAAGCTGTCTCTCTCATCGGGGTGACTAGGACCACTGGCAGCCCATCTTATCCTACACAGGTTGTCCACCAGATAGACATAACCTACTTTGCTGTTGAGATATCCAATAGACTCGCTAATCTCGTTTGTGATGCCGCGGGGTACCAAGAAGTACTTTCCCCAGTTGTGCTCAGGGATCTGTTTGCGCAGATTGCCCATGAACATCTTTACGATCCACGCCTTGAACTTGTTGTCCTCAATATTGAGCTGGAGAACCTGCGTCTTGCCGGGCGTCTTGGCCAGGAGCTCGTGCAGCGCGGGGTTGGCCTCGGGGGAGATGAAGGTCTTTGCCTGGTCGTCGGCCCACTGGCTGCTGTAGACGGCGACGACGGAGACCTTGTCGAGCAGCGTCCGCGTCGTGTCGCGGGGGTTGTTTGCGTTCTTGGCGAGGGTGTCGCCGACGAAGTTGGGGAAGAAGAGGGACATGTCGGCCTTGAAGGGTAGAGGGGGCGCGATGAAGGATTTGCCCTCGTGAAATTGCATGTTACGCCAGTCGCGGAAGTAGGGGCGTGCCATCTTTTCCTTACTGCGTAAGGAGGGATATACCAATCAGCCATTTGGTCTTGAGTGATCCTTTGGGGCATTATCACTAAGGGACTCACAGCTCTTTACGACGCACAAGATGTTTGTCGTAGTCGACAAAGTCGTCCCTCCGTTCTTTCAGCGACCTCCTATCCACGCCAGAGTTGTCCTCTGGGTGAGGCGGGTGCGCCATGCCGATGGGGCGCGGCAGAGGCTGCGGCGTGAAGTTGTTGATCTTCTTGCCGTATGCTCTTGGGGCATGAATGGCAGATCCGGGAAGGTCGGGCTTCGGAGCTTCGACGGGGGCGGCGCCGGGCGCCGGGGTCGGGAGCTTGCCAGCCAGGTAAGGTCGGGAGGTGCTAAGGTGCCGTCGCCATGCGCAGACTGTGCAAGAGATCATGGTCCTTCTAGAGGCCCCCATGGACAGGGCCATTGTCCGTAACGGTGTGGTTGGAACCATTGCGGCTGGTTGTTTTGGTATAGTTGGCTTCGACTCTCAAGTTCTGTCGAGGTCTGGTCAATCCATGCCTTGTTGAACATCAAAAAATTCGCGCCACATTATTCCGGCATCCCACGAAGCTGGCGCCACAAGTCTCCAGCCACAATATTACAAAAGCCTAAGGCCCTTGAGCCGCGAGCGATAACAGAGTGGATTAGCGACGCTTCAATGCGGAGACGAGGGGGAAAGAGCCAAGCGCACTGAACCGACGCAGCGGGTCTCGGGCCACCCTGCAGCTTCCCCGAGGGGCATTTCACATTGTGTCATGGGGGACTCAATCGACCTTCACTGGCCGAACACCGTGAATAGCCGAGTGTTTGGGGAAAGGACAATGCCGTCGCCGAGCGGTTCAATCCTCCTGCAAGTGCGTTCGCACATTCCTTGGGGAGTACCTTCCCTTTTTTCTCCTCTCTCTTTTAGAAAAGAAATTAGAAGTTGGGAATTGGTTTCTTATCCTCTTAACTATTCAAAAAACAAAACAAAATGTTTCTTCAAAGAGGATCGCGCGCCGTCCGGACGCAATGGCACGTCTCAAAGAGCATGGCTCGCCTGGCCGCGGCAAGAGCTTCCGGCGTCTACCCCTCCAGACAGTTCCACGACACACGGCACCTACAGGTTGTGAAGCCTGTCTTGCTGGCGGACATTGGCGAAGGTTAGAAGTCTCTTATTTCTACTCCTTATTCCACAGAGACATGTCTAACAGTCCCGATTTACATAGGCATCGTGGAGTGCGAAATCATACAATGGTTCGTCGAGCCCGGCGCCCGAGTCGAGGAGTTCTCCCCGCTGTGCGAGGTTCAGAGCGATAAGGCGTCTGTGGAGATCACCAGTCGTTTCTCGGGTGTCGTAAAGAAGCTGCACTACGATGCCGGCGACATGGCCAAGGTCGGCAAACCATTTGTCGACATCGACATCCAGGGCGGGGCTAAGAAGGAGGACCTGGATGCGCTGACAGCCCCAGCGGAAGCGGCACAGGAGAAACCCTCCCAAAAGTCGCCGGAACCTCCTGTACTGCCCAATTCACAACAGGAAGATAAGACACAGGACCAAACAAGACGAGAATCGAGAGCGGCATCTCAGGATGCGGCCAGTGCTGAAGATACCCCACGGCCAAAGGGCACCCATGCCTCGCTTGCTACACCGGCGGTGCGGCATCTGACCAAGAGCCTGAACGTAGATATTGCCGAGATCAACGGCACAGGAAGAGACGGGAGGGTTCTGAAAGAGGACGTACAGAACTTTGTGAAGCACCGCGACGCCGGTGACAGGCCGGCGGGGGCAACGACTCCATCCCCGGCCGCCGCGGCCCCGCCTTCCGGCGCCGCACAACTCGAAACCCGGGTCCCGCTCACAAATACCCAACAGCAAATGTTCAAGTCCATGACCCGCTCCCTCGCAATCCCCCACTTCCTCTACGCCGACGAGATCGACTTTTCCAGCCTCGTCCAGCTGCGCACCCGCCTCAACCGCGTCCTCGCGACATCCCCCGAGGTGGGCGGCGGCGAGACTGGCGTCGCGAAGCTCTCCTACCTCCCCTTCATCATCAAAGCCGTCTCCATGGCGCTCTACCAATACCCCATTCTCAACGCGCGCGTCGATCTCGACCCTTCTTCCTCGCCGTCGTCGAAGCCGTCACTCGTCATGCGCAGCCAACACAACATCGGCGTAGCAATGGATACCCCCGCCGGCCTCCTGGTGCCTGTAATCCGCGACGTCGGCTCCCTCAACATCCTCTCCATCGCCTCGGAGCTAACGCGTCTGCAAAAGGCGGCCCTCGCGGGCAAGCTCGCGCCGGCGGACCTCAAGGGCGGGACCATCACCGTCTCCAATATTGGCAACATTGGCGGCACCTACCTATCGCCCGTCATCGTCGACAAGGAGGTCGCGATCCTCGGCATCGGTCGCATGCGCGCCGTGCCGGCGTTCGAGGGTGAGGACTCGGACAGGGTGGTGAGGAAGCACGTTACCAACTTTAGCTGGAGCGCTGACCACCGTGTGGTGGACGGCGCGACCATGGCCCGGGCCGCGGAGGTGGTGCGGCGGGTTGTGGAGGAGCCCGACGTCATGGTCATGCATCTGAGGTGAGTAGCACGCGGGAGAAAACTTGTTCTGGAAGGAATATCGGGGGAAGGGAGTAAGCGCGCGTGTGTTGTATCTACCTTGTGACTCCGGGGGCCACCCACCACCCCCAAGACGGATGGCGAGAGAGTAAAAGGTAACCCTCAAGAAGGCGCCTTATGGATGACGCCGTTCTGTCGCCGCGTGATGCGGAGCCAGAGGCCTGGGGTTGCTAGTGTGGGTCGGCGAGCGGAGGGCTGGATGGATGACTTACAAGATTCTTGACAATTAGACGTCTAAATGGTTTGTAGATATGAAGTGAGGGTGAGCAGGGGTCTTTAGCGGTGGGTGTTACCAACTACCTACTTTGCAAACACCATCAAGGGGCCAAAATGGCTTGCGGGAAAATTTCAAATCCAACAGTTCAAACAAAAGCCAGATCGTCATCAAATCTGTAAGATTGGGCTGCTGCCCGACGCATGTCTGACAAGCATTTCCTGTATCGTGTGCAACCCAACAATAAATAAGGCAGTGTACCTAAGTACGTACGACCGTATGTATCCGTTTGCGCGTTGAAGGCTGTGATATCGATGCCTTACATCAAACCAAGCGCTTGCCCCACAGGGAGCCAACATCCCCATCCCCATCCCCAAAGCCTAGAGGCCCCCCCTCTCCTCGGTGTAGGCTAGGACATATGTGACGGCCCAGTGACGACGGACGAACGCTTCTCCACATCCTCACCGAGTTGACGCCAGCCAATGCTGAAGAATGCCTGAACGGCAAACGTGAACGATTATGCTCCGTAGCAATGCAAGTGCCTCGATCCGGTGGGTTGCCCACCACTTCACGTAGCAGCAAGGGTTTGCGCATAAGTACACCACAGAAGGGGAGGAAGGAAAGGAGGGGCAGATTGGGCACGCTGAAAGGGAAGATGCAAGATGGTAGTAGTAGTAGTCATATTTCGTCAGTTATAATATTGTATATTACTGAACTAAGAGAAGTTGCAAGTGATAGAAAACGCAACAATCTACCCGGCCAAAGCCTGACCATTGAGAATTCTCTGTTTGCAAACCCCTGCATGGAGTGAGGAAACAAGCGCCAAACCGGCTCATCGTCGCCGTTGTCGCCTCCACGGCCAGCCCATTAAACCTACCAGGCCTTGATATATCGGGTTGCCATGTATTGTCCCTCCTCCCTCGCTGTTGCATAATTCCACCCAGCTGATTGGGCTACGCAGAGGATGCCATTCGTGGCGCAGATCCTCGTGACACCCCTTCATCTCCGTACATTGCATGCAGGCTGACTTGTCAAAGCCAGCGGTTTTGTAGACCAGATCCCAATGCTGACGCCATGAATATCCAAAAGTAAACGCTCACTTCTATGCCCGGAACTCCAATATCCCGTGGGATAATTTGCCAAAAAAGAAGCAGCCAAAAAAGGACCAATGATAGTACGCCTTCTATAGCCGGTACACAGCTCACGCCTCCTCTTCCATTGCGGCCTTGACGTTGGCCAAGGCGTCGCGCTTGACTTCCTCAAGGGAGCGGCTGACATCGAGGCTGATGACATCGGTCTCATCGGCCATGGGGGCCTCGAGGGACTGGAACTGGCTGCGGACCATGTTGGCGCCCATGTAGTGGTTGGTGGCAGCGCTACGAGCCGTCACACGCTGGACCAGAACGCTTTCGGAGGCCGACAAGTAGATGAAGTGAATGAGAATCGAGCGGTCGTAGTATCCAGCAACGCGGATCACGTCTCTGTACTTGCGCTTTAGAGCCGAGCAAGTGAGAACGACACCATCGGAGCCCGCAGCCAGCTGGTGGCGGGACTCTTCACGCAGGGCAACAAGCCAGTCCCAACGGTCGGCGTCGGTAAGAGGAATGCCGTTGGCCATCTTTTCGATATTCGCTTGAGGGTGGAACTTTTCACGCGCGAGTCAGACAGGATTCCGAAATACGAGGCCTGAAAGCACTACTTACACTGTCACCCTCAATGTAGGGCAGCTTCAGAGCTTGAGCGAGGTACTCGGCAACAGTCGTCTTGCCACAGCCAGCGGGACCAGTAACTAGCCAGATGTGGTGATACTTGGTGTCGAGAGATCCGTTGACGTGTGCGCCATTGTTTGCGGTAGTCGGAACCCCAGGAACTCTAGGCTGGGTCTTGGATGCAACGGCTTGTTGTACGCCGTTGGTGAGTCCCGAAGGAGACTTGGGGGTTTGTCCACTGACAGGCATTGGGGAGTCGTAGGAAAGCATTGTTTCGTGGGATTTCGTGAAGAGGAACGGGGTCACGGATAGACTGTTTCGAGAGGATCGGGTTTTGGACGCTGTTGCGTTGTCTGGAGGAGACAGTTTGGGGCGTACAGATAGTAGCTCAGGTCTTTGACACGATCTAGGAGATGGTTATGGGATATTGTGAAGAAGTTCAACAGATGACGTGTAGTAGTATATGTAACTTTGTTCTTGCGAGTATGACAAGAGTTCAGAGACAAGACAAGGAAACGGCGATCAGAGTGTAAGTGCAGGGCGTTCCTGTCTTATAAGTGACACGGACGAGACTTCTCTGGGTCTGGGGGATCGATGAGGTAAAAAATTCCAACGGGGACTCAAGGGGTGCCCTGACGGCAACTAAAACGCCCTGGGGGGGAGCGCACAGCAGGTTCCAGTACCTGGACTTCAGCGGACTTCTCTCGGGCCAGGGGTAGAGAGGGACCAGGGGGGTGTCACTGACCCGGATCCCAAAGAGCGGCGTCCCCTAGTCGTCATGATGGCCAATAAAGGTGCTGCATACCCCAGCGGGGAGAAATCCGTTACTCCACAAAGTGCTGGGGGAGGGTGGTCAAGCCCATATCCGTGGGGGTGCGCTCAGAGATGGCCGTGTGCGTGCGTCCGATGTCTTGACTGCTGTCTCCAAGTACGGATACGTTCGCCTTGTACTTGTTCTCCGCGGGATCCAAATGCCAAGGAGGTCGCATCTGGGGCAGACGTGGGACGAATAGAACAAGAGCAGAGTTGCGCCTGATGGAAGGCACAAATCGTTGGACGAAATAAATATCCATCGTCGAGTTACAACATCCGGCTATTGGAGCATGAGATGTTGCGACGGGTAACTGCATTCAGGTGTCGGGCGTCTGGCTTTTGAGACTGAGCACCTAGTGATGGCGCGCAATCAACTATTGGGATCATCTTTGGTAGTTGCGGTACGGCAACTAGGTAAGGTGGTAGACGTGCTCAGGCCGGCGCTCCAAGATTGTCCACTAATCTGCCATGTACTCCAGCCAGAACAAGTCTGATGGCCTTCGAACCATTCCATGTCTGTACCGTGATGGCGGAATGATGAGGGAGATCAACAGCGGCAACTATCAAGGGCTGAAGAAAGGCATTTCGTGTCTGTTGTTCGGTTCGCGAATCGAATCCACTATGCGTTTCTAGTAAATTCGTACCACTGGCCCAAGGTAGTTTACCAGTCTGCGCTGCGCGATGCGATGCGGTACGGTACGTCGTGTGCATACGGCATCTCAAGGAGTTTCGAGGACCCCACGACCAGGATGAGAGTGTCAGGCGTCCCAGGAAAAGTGATTGTCCAGGGCAAACACCGATACCTAAAATAATTGTGCTGTGTGTTAGCACATTGGCACAGAGCAGGGTGTGGCGTTAGGTGCAATGCTGGGAAAAGGCAAAGCCGGCGGCGATGACAGGACTTGCGTCGCGGGTCCCGGGGAGGGCGGAGGACGGGGCTCGGTCAAGGAAGATGGAAGACTCCAGTTGGTCAGAGGCAAAGGAGATGACGATGCTAAGGATGAAAAGGGTTCGAGAGGCCTGAATGGCGGGGGCAGAAGGGGGAAAACGATGGGCGCGGTCGGGTATGGTGGACGAGGGGGTACTATGGGCGAGGTGTGGACTGTGGAGGAAGCAGCGTGGGGGGACACACTTTTTCTAGAACATGGCACTAGGGAATAATTTCCTGAACCGGGCAGGGGCCAGGGAAACGAGCGAGGTCACTCGACACGCAAAAAAAGTAGGAAAAACAGAAAGAAAGGGAAAAAAAACTTATTAGGCCCTCGACCAAATTTCCAGCCTCGGTGGGGGGGGGGGGGGGGGAAGTGTCCGATGACGGGCAGTAAATAGCAAGCTTTGACCAGAGACGAATATGACATTTTGTCCAAGCAAACGCGACTGTAGACACCTTACGTCCTTCTCTGCTTTGAAAGTCGGAAGGTCCTATTTGGTCAGTGGGGGTTGGTTCGGTGAGTAAGGCAAAACACCTGCACAGTATCTGCTCCGTACCTTGGGCCATGTTGAGAAAACCCGCACGCCTACGGTAATTGGGATCGGTAGCTCGGAACACCTTTCATCTAGTATAGTATCCAGATACCTTAATCATTACTGGCCTGCGGATACCTGCATGCTTGCTTGTAACTCCATGTTGTTTCTCTGGAACAAGTGCAGTGACTTGTCCGTTTCTCGCCCGACCAGCCTGGCCAACAGACCCCGTCTCCGTCTGGGACTGGTGATGGTCGGGGGAAAGTGCAATAAAGTGCTTTTGGCTCTCGGGCAAGCACCGAGAAGCAAGGATTACATCATACCTCCTAGTGCCTGTATCTGTACTCCGTACTCCGTATTCTGTCATGGGGAAGAAGGTAGATACGGATACCTGGTACGATTGCTCCCGCTCCATAGCTGCTGCCTTCTATTCCATTCCCTTTCCGAAAGCACGAGAACGATGCCAATACCTTGGAAGTATCTACTCCGTACCTACCTGAGGTACGAATGACAGTACATAGTGTAGACAGCCAAACGGGGGAGAGCCGGCTGACACTTTGCGATCCGAGGAAAGTGGCCACCGGGGCTAGCTCCCTCGTCCACTCAGATAAACTTACGAGACGGCAGTACGTCGGCTCGAGGATTCCAACGCGCCAATGCACCTGTATCTCAACTTCCCAGCCGTGCCAGCCCAGTCCGCCCTGCCCCCGTCACCCTAAACTCCCGTCATCAACCATGGACTATGGGCCATGAGGTGCAGTCTGC